GGGTCAAAACTCTAATTTGGCATTAAAATTAGAAAGATCATATCATAGGGAACATGTGTACCAAGTTTCAAGTTGATTGGACTCCAACTTCGTCAAAAACTACCTTGACCAAAAACTTTAACCTGAAGCGGGACAGACAGACGGACGGACGAACGGACGCAGACCAGAAAACATAATGCCCCTACTACTATCATAGGTGGGGCATACAAAAAAAGGGAGGTTACCCAAGATTGCAATGGATAGAAGACAATTTTAGCATTTGACAATTTCAAATCTTGATCTCTATTTTTGTTTGAATAATCATGATAAAATCATTTTGTTTATGAGCTTTGGAGCCATCAAGATCGTCACTATGTTAAGACAGAAGTTACATTTCTGAGACCAGTTTAAGGAAGAAACAAATTTATTTTCTCAAATATTTTGTACATGGAGGCAGTCTGACTAACAAATAATCTAATTGCATTGTAGTAAAAATACAGATGAATGGATTCAAATCGCTACTTTAGATTGCCAAGCTCATTTCCCTGGTGCTATCAAAAGGTGCTAGGTATTTCTGCATGAAACAGCCACAACATATTGCAACATTTGTAAAATGAAACTTACGATAATAGTAAACAGCTGCCAAGATAATAACATAGGAAACATAAACAGTTTAAAAATATTGTTTACCTTTTTACCGTGTCTACAATATTTTCAGTGGGATACGTATGTTTTATAAATTGTAAGACCAATATCCATCTAGGAAGAGTTTTATTTTCAAGCCACACTCAAGAGACAGACAAACAGACGGCCAGGATGACTCCTATATTTCCTACTCGTATATATATATAGACCCCTACCCCCATATGATAAAATGCTTCGCTGAGCGCAGCCTGATACGACCGGAGAGGTCGAAACCCTGAACATTTGGGGCAAATTTGGACACAATATTCAAGCTTGATACTGTCTGAATTTGGATTGTAATTAAATTTTTGACATAATATAGGTTTCTGACACAAATAAATCCATTGGGCAATACTGTGCAATTGAAGATTTCTTCTTGAAACTTTTCAAAAAAATCGAAATTTTAAAAATTTTGAAAAAAAAATATGAATCCCTTAAAAAAATTGAGAAAAAAATTCCCAACCCACCCAACTTTTTGAAACCCCCCTTGGAGCAATAACCCCAAAACTCAATCCCAGCCTTTCCTTTGTAGTATAGAACCTTGTAGTACAATTTCAGAGAGACCCATACACTTACACACAAGTTATTGTCTGGAAACTAGAAAAAGGCTTGTTTTTGACCCTTTTTTGGCCCATAATTCCTACATGTTTGAGGCAATAAACCCCAAACTCAATCCCAGCCTTCCCTTTGTTATATGGAACCTTGTGGTACAATGTCAGAGAGATCCATACACTTACACACAAGTTATTGTCTGGAAACTAGAAAAATGCTTGTTTTTGGCCCTTAATTCCTAAACTGTTGGCCCCATAACCCCTAAAATGAATCCCAACATTCTACTTGTGGTATTAAACATTGTGGAATAATTTCAGAGCAATCGAAATACTTATACACAAGTTATTATCCTGAAACTAGAATCAAAGAGATGAAAGCTCTAAGTAAAAATGACACCATTGTCTCTCGTATTGGGATATTTGAGATGCAAGTCTTGATTTTTACTTAATTTACCTACTGAATGATGTATATTAGGTGAACCTTAAAGGTGGATTATCAGATTATTGGTCACAGGAATATTAAAGTGATTGTTGACTTTTCAAATATAAAAATATGCACAAAGAAGGAAATATATCTGATTCCTTGTGAAAATTAAAAGATAGAACACTGTACTTTAATTGATTTGGTAATTTAATTTCAAGAATGACAACATATATGATCTGTTAACATAAGTGTAAAATTTGTCCATTAGCTACTGTTTATTAGGTTTATGGTTGAACTGTATCTTTGAACTTTGTCAATCAGTCATGATTTACTTCTTAAGCTGTGTAAGAACCTTCTTGTAATTGAAAATTGGTCTGCCATGATCACGATTTCTAGCCATTCTGAGTTCCTAACAAGTTCAAAATTTAGCACATTTGCAGTTTATAATACCCAAAGATCAGGAGAAACAACGATTTTGATTGGCTGATCACAGTTGTCTCCCTTGGGAAAAGTTTGAGGAAAGTTTGAAATTGAGAACATTCATTATTTTTGTGTAGAATTTAACAAAATCGTGTTTTAGAGGTTTTTACACGATCACACCTGCAATCGTGACAAGGGGTCAAAATCGAGTATTTTACGCCTGAATCATGCAAGTTGGCAGGTATGACAGGTTAAGAAATTAAAGAATGAAAATTCTGTATAGTACATTAAGTATGTAAAATACGGAACCGAGTTCGGAATGCAGGATGGAAATCTGGTCAATGGTAAAAGAAAATTGACTGCATCATTTTCTAAAAATGCTTGTTTTGGGCCCCTAATTCCTAAACGGTTGGGACCATCATCCCCAAAATCAATCCCAACCTTCCTTTTGTGGTATTGAACCTTCTTAAAAAATTTCATAAAGATCCATTCACTTAAAGTTATTGTCCGGAAACCAATGTGTCTTCGGACGACGACGCAGACGACATCATACCATTATACGATCCCAAAAATTTTTTTGAGGTCGTATAAAAATGATACCCCTTTTAAATACGTTTCTGGTTTAGATATGTTTTGATAATTAAAGGAAATTAAGTGATATTTAAAAAAAAAATTTGAAAAATCAGAAACAATAGGTGAATTTTTCCAATAGGATGATATAATCAAGCCCTATACAAGTCATAATCGACAGCTAATCACTTTGCCTTGTCAGATTATATTAATATGTATATGTTAGTGGTAATAGGTGAAATTAGACATTAAGCTTAAATCCTAGGTAATAACCTAATGCCTAGACAGTAAGTCTATTACCTAAATGATGTTAGGCATTATTCTTAAATCCTGCAAAATGTGTCCAGGCCTTAATCTTAATGACTAAAATGTAAATGCCAGTAAATAAAACAACATTTAATCAAAGCTAAAACACACTGTACATGACAACATAATAAAAACTGAAGTTTAAAATTTCAACTACCTGAAATAAAGTCACTTGTTATGGCCACTTTAGTTTTAACTCGTGTTCACAACCATTGTCACATGGTAGTTTATGGGGCCCACCAAAAAATTGTGAAAACATCAATTAAATCAAAAATCACCTCTGAAGCAAATTTTGATCTAAGAAATCTAATGTTACAAACTTTTGTTAGGCTAAAGAAAAATATATGTCTGTTTACGGTTACCCGACCGACCCTACTTTTGAGCATTTTATTTCCGTCGTAAAGTGAAAAATAATCTGAAGTCGTGTCAAAAGCAAGTTAGTGTTGCAAATAATATAAATCAATTGCCTGATACATCGCAATGTTCACAATCGTGAATATGAAAGCTGTTTTAAGGAAATTCGCAACTCGTGTGATGAAATAACACTTTGCTGCCATTTTTTTCCAATCAATTACCAAGGGAAATAATCCAATCATTAAAAATACGGGTAAACTCAACCCATGACCAACCTACCTACCCTATTTTTTTTAAAGTATGTAACCTTAAACAAACATACATTTTTTTTTGGCCTTAGGTGATTTGGTACACAATAAGAAATTTATAATTTCCATCTGAGTTTGATTGGAAATCCATTAAATCAACCTGTTCCCTACTGTTGAACTATTTGGATAAAATGGGTTTCACTACTACTCACTTCCCAAAATACTGTTTCTTCATGTTACAATTTTCACAAAGTGAAAGAAATAGTTTGATGGAATCACAAGAAATATTGGCATAGCCATGGAATCGCGAGAAATATTTGCATACTCATAATTAGGTTGTTTAAATCATACGGTCTCTGACCCCATGACCTGTTTATGAGCCTTTTCCAAAGTACCATACAGTTCCTCTAGAAAAACATAAAATTTTGAAATTTTCCACATCATTCTCCTTTACGTTACTTATCAACCTTTCAAAGTCTCCTATGGTAAAAATGTTTAACAGTAATTTTTTATTATTCATTAGATACAATCACTTGTTTGAAACATAATAATTTTTGTAATACCACAAAGAAATACAAGTTAATTATATGTAAAAATACTAAAATTTAAAGGTCTGTTAAATTAATGTATATTTATATTTGGAATATAAATTACATCAAGGTTATTTCAACGAAAGTAGATATTTGGAAGATAAAACAAAAATCCCAAAGATCACTTATTACCTGAAATGGTGTTTGGCAATAGCTTAAATAATCATCATCAGATTTCAGGAAATAAGCTTAATGCCTAATTTTAATTATTGCCGCTAACATATATATGAAGGTGAAAAAATTTAATAGTAGACATGATTATTAACAATATACAACAAAACCTGTCTAAACCAAACCTCTTGGGCATTGAATATTTAGTTCAGATCAGACAGGTGTTTGCTTTTATACACAGGTTAAATCATTTTTAAAAAGAATTTTCATTGTATGTCTCTGTATCTATACAATATTCAGTAATTACATGTTTCTGGCTTACACAGGGTTCAGATTAAAAATGTTTCACTGAATCAATTCTCAATCACATGAATTTAAAGTCAGATGAACACTGTCAGACGACACAAAAGCTAAACAGTCATTAAAGAAGGACGAGGTTACCTTTTGTCAATGAGAACTGTCATTACTACTAAGTTCAACCAGTCTTATTACGAATTAGCCGCAATACAGAGACACTTACTTATGCAACCTCAAAGACTGTAACTAAAGTAACGTATTGTAACGTCATATCATTATTACGCTTATTGTATGCATAACGTCTCTGTCAGTATAGAAACACAGTTTGAATATACACACGTCTTTCCATTTACACAAAGCGAAGTACTACCCAACTAAACCCAAAAATTGTTGCCGTGACCAGTGAACACAACCTGTATTAGGAACCTTATTCCAGGTTCAAAACTATATCTTCATAAGTACTAACCTCCTGGGGACCAGTCTTGTATACATCTATTTAGAAAAGGTAACATGTTATATTCTAAGGCCATTGTCAATAACTGCTCCCTCATCTGTGCCTGAAAATCCGAATTACATTATAAGTAATCCAACATTTTAAATACAAAGATGGATCACAATGAACTTTTTCATTAAAGCGTGTAACATTTCTGTTATCATTTTTATATATGCATGCACAAATTCCTTAAAAATCAAGATCCTTAAGACTTTAGATCTAAAAAATTGTTTTCTGAACAACTTTCATTTGCTTGAACCACATGTTAAAATTTGGTTAGTCAAATAAGAAAATCAACAAGTGTGCAATCCAAAATGGCAGCCAAGGGAAATAACTCTATCTCAAATTCTGTCAATGGAATAAAATTGAGAATGGAAACAGGGAATGTGTCAAAGAGACAACCCGATCAAAGAGCAGAAAACAGCCCAAGGCCACCAATGGGTCTTCAACACAGCAAGAAAATCCTGCAACCGGAAGCGGGCTTCAGTTGGCCCTTAAATAAAAATGTATACTAGTTCAGCGAAAATGGATGTCACACTAAACTTCTAAACATATAAATGAACCAAAATTAAAAAAATATACAAGACTAACAAAGGCCAGAGGTTCCTGACTTGGGAAATGTGGTGGGAAAAATACCACTTATTTCTTTAACATTTGTGCCCAAGAATCTAATAAAATCATATGTAATCAAGACCTTTTAAACTAGATAAAAGACGACAATGCTTTTTATGAATTAAAGAGTTCAATGTTTATGTTGTCATTCATCAAATCAAAGTTGTCAATAAATCACAATAGCACTAGATTCTTCAATCATTGTGAACTTTTTTTTAATTAAGACATACAGCACAGTCTATGTTTATTGTGGAAAACCATATGTTGACCTTTACAGATATTCGTTTTGGTTTTATTGTGCTGTTAAATATTGAGTCATTGATGTAACTCCCACATTGCTTATTATTTATGGGGCCTCAGTGGAAAAGTGGTCTAAGTTGTTCATCTGAAGTGATCAATAGCATGTCACCACTGAGGTTGCAATTTCGATCCCCCCTCTTTGTAAGGTGCTTTCGACTCTGATCTTAATCGACTAGGATTGCCAGTTTTCTGCTTTCCAGCTTCCTCCCACCTTAAAAAACGGCTGCCATTATATAGCCAAGAGTGAAATACCAATTTTTTTTATCAATATAAACTTTTGATTAATTAACATACTGTTGTGGGGTTGTGAGATGAAATGTCTAATGGACGAGGCAGTAAGCCCATTAAGATACACAAATTATACTGTTCTTTGCAGTTTAGTAAGACTGATGGTCCTATCTTCTCAATGCTAGCTAAAACCTGTCAAGATAAAAGGAAAACACTGAGCAAAGACATACTTTATATAGGAACATTTTAATGTGTGTAATTTTAGCTTTTTTTGCGATTGACAATTTACTGCAAAATTTACCCTATGGGAACCTCTCACTGTTCATTAAAATGTATTATACAAGATCATAAATAATGAAAACATCAAAAATTTAACTGTCCCATTTAAGATTCAAACCATGATCAATTCTAATGCAATATCGTTTGTAATGTTAATTTTGATTGGATAACGTCACCAACTCTCATGGCATCAATTCACAATTGATGCTATGAAAACGTACGCGTAAGCACAGACGACGTATGATCGATTTTAAATGTATGATTTGACGTTGTTTTCTGTCAGTTTCATTAGAATGGAGATAATATTGTATTTTAAGCTCCGACAGCATCAATTTTTGATTTGATGGTCGCAAATACCCGTTTACTGGCACCGCTAACACGTCGCCAGTAGACTTAATTTGCCACCATCAAATCACCAATTGATGTCGTCTGAGCTTAAAATACAATACAGTTATCTCCTAAACCCAATGCGAAAATAATCCGCCAAAATACAGTATTTTACACTTTTAATTTTTCATCTGTGTTTGCAAAAAAAAAAATCATTTATGGCAACATAAGAAAAGAATTATAGCAGTTAGACATTGTCCATCTTATTTATTTTTTTCTGGACTTTCTGACTTTTTCAGTGTCAATCGGCTTTTTAACCTGGAACTCGTCACATGTTTCGATCTTGACAGAAAATAAATAATCAGCTTATTGGAAAAAGGTACAAGCATTTAATAGCTATCAGCAATAAACTTATCAATAAAAAGTGTTAATTTTCCACTTTCCACCAAAGACTTTATGACATAAATGTTAGCAACTACAGGTCAAATGAAAAAAAAAAATGAAGAATGTGTCCATGGGACACAAATGATGCCCACTCTTGCATATAACATTATGACATAACTAGAGAACTGTAAAAGTGACGCCACCCAAATTCGAACTTGATCTACGTTTTATGGTAATAAGCATTGTGTCATCTTCGCTAACCAAGGATTACGATCCAGTCCCCTCCTCTCCACCCATGGCAGATTAAACCAACATTTGTGATTACAATGCTGCGCTATCTACCAGTAGACAAAAGTCACGACCATTCCGACTACATCATTCTTGACCAATGGTAGCACTTGAACACTCTTCAGTAGGGAGTTGTCAAAAACGGTTGTGTCTAGTGTTTACAAATTTTGTGAAGCAGGACCCGAAAATAAACATTGTCATTCCAACATTTGCACGATAAACATACCCAGAAACTTCAATTAGTTGATTAAGAACTTTAAGATTGTCACTAAATATCGTCCTATGTTTTGGTGGTAAAGACTTGTTGCACAATCTGCATGTGGCAAATGTTTATTTACATTTTCAATATTTACACGTGATCATCTTTAAGGCTCTTTTTGATTGGATGCAGCCAGTTGCAACTGCAAACAATGGAAATCATTACATCGTGGATCCGAAATTCTATCTTAATCCGCCAAGAGTGGAGAGGAGGGGACTGGATCGTTATCCTTGGCTAGCGAAGATGGCATTGTGTACAAGTTTGATTACATTTGGTTGAGGCAAACTAATGTTAGAGAACAGAAACTAATTTTGAACATACGGATGGACAGACAAGGGTAACACTAAATGTCCCCTCCAATGCTGCCGGGACATAAAAATGAATAAAAAATATTCTTTTTATATGTAGCATGAGGCTGGAAACTCACATTTATATGTTTTATCAAAAACTGATTAAAATGTAAACTTTTGGAGTAACTTGATATTGGTTTTAAAAGATTATAATTTGGTTATTGTTTAGAATCATACCTGTCTCTGTGTACCAAGGAAATGACATTTCATTAAACCAGAATCCATTATCAACAAAGCGTCTGAAAACAAAACGATACTATTATTGACAAAATAGTGAAATTCTTTCTATTTTAGATTTACTTGTTTTGAAGCAAGCATTTATCTAAGACATTAAAAAAAATCTCTGGTTTAGCACAGTAACATGCTTAATCATAGCTAAAATGGTCAAAGAAAATGATGCAAAATCATGAAATTTATTTCTCTCTTTGTGTTTAACATGCAACAGTTGTTTTAAAAAAAAATCTATGATACCTATGCTTTTTATATCAAAAGGTTATCAAGAGTTGCCTCCCATACACACCAATATTCCCAAATTTTTTTTTGAGTTTTCTTCCTTTTTAAAAAAAACACAGTTCAAGACGTGATCCAAGCTATGTGTAAGCTAATTTTTCATCATAAACAATTTAACAAAAGAAAACCAGGTAAATTAAATCCGTATAACAGACATATAAAACTGCTTATCCCATAAATTTGACTGAAATGATTAAAGAACCTTAGTGAGTGCGCTCACATACCCCATGTCCCCACATTGTCATTGGAGAAATAAAATAAGTGTAAGAAAAAAAATTGAATCATAATTTCCTGTCAATATGCACATCTACATAGTATGTCCTTATTATCTACAAAGTTTCATGAAATTCTGTCGTGTGGTTTCAGAGGAGTTGCAATGACAAACTGTTGCAGAAGTACATTGAAGCAAATAAGTTCAAAGGGGCGTAACTCCTAGAAAAAAAATTGAATCGTAATTTCCTGTCGATATGCACATCTACATAGTATGTCCTTATTATCTACAAAGTTTCATGAAATTCTGTCGTGTGGTTTCAGAGGAGTTGCGATGACAAACTGTTGCAGAAGTACATTGAAGCAAATAAGTTCAAAATGACATAACTCCTAGAAAAAAAATTGAATCGTAATTTCCTGTCTATATGCACATCTACATAGTATGTCCTTATTATCTAAAAAGGTTTCATGAAATTCTGTTGTGTGGTTTCACAGGAGTTGCGATGACAAACTGTTGCAGTATATTGGGCAAATAAGTTCAAAGGGGCGCAACTCCTGGGAAAAAAATTGATTCGTAAATTCCTGTCGATATGCACATCTACATAGTATGTCCTTATTATCTGAAAAGGTTTCATGAAATTCTGTTGTGTGGTTTGAGAGGAGTTGCGATGACAAGAAACAGGACTGACGGACTGACGGACAGACAGACGGACAGGTCAAAAACATTATACCCTTCGTAAAAAATAATTTAAAACAAGGTCATAATGCCACCATATTTCCTTATTTTTATCAAAAAAAATGAAAAATTAATGTTCAACTTACCAAATGCCAGAGATGCAGGATAAAAGTGCTGTTCTGGTGGCAGAGGAGATGTGTTGATAAATTTCCTCAAGCTGTTTGTAAAGATATGTACAGCCTGTCAATAAATATCAAATAAAATAGTTATTTTTAGAAAATAGATTAACAAGAATATGAGTCAAATAGTCCTGCTCACACTATATTTCTATGTTCAGTGAACTCTGAAATTGTGGTAAAAAACCTAAGTTTGGTATATAATTAAAAAAAATTTGTAAGGGTTCCGCAGAACCCAGTGTCTCGCCGACTTCTGCTGTTAATCACAGGCTCAACAAAAATGAGGAAAAAAATTAATAAAAATATTCCTCTCTATACTATCTTTTGATTGTAAGTAGCTTCTGTCCAAGTTTGGTAAAAATACAGGATAGTTTATGAATCTAATAAATGTTTTAAAATAAAAACTTAAACTGCAGACTGTTATGTAATGTTAACTGGAAGAAAAACTAAGTCCATTTACAAGTAAAATACGGAAAAAAATGGAACAAAATTTTAACAAAATTTCCTTTTAGATACTAGCTTTTAATCATAAACAAGCTTCTGTCCAAGTTTGGTACAAATCCAGGATAGTTTAAGAAAGTTGTTAAAATTTTAAAAACTTTAACCACAGAGTGAATGTAATGTTAACTGGCAGAAAAACTAAGTCCATTTATAAGTAAAATACGAAAAAAATGGAATTTTTTTTTTCACAAAATTTACTTCTGGATACTATCTTATGATCCCAAACAAGCTTCTTTCCAAGTTTGGTACAAATCCAGGATAGTTTAAGAAAGTAATTAAAATTTCAAAAACTTTAACCACAGAGTGAATGTAATGTTTCCTGGCAGAAAAACTAAGTCCATTTATAAGTAAAATACGGAAAAAATGGAATTTTTTTTTTACAAAATTTACTTTTAAATATTATCTTATGATCATAAACAAGCTTCTGTCCAAGTTTGGTAGAAATCCAGGGTAGTTTAAGAAAGTTATTAAAATTTCAAAAGCTTTAACCACAGAGTGAATATTTGTGGACGCCGCCGACGGAATGTAGGATCGCTATGTCTCGATTTTTCGACAAAAGTCGAAGGCGCGACAAAAATCACATCACAATGAATATATGTTCTTAGTTTCAAGTTTCTGTTTTATTAATATGAAAATACTGGGGGTCACCAAATTTTTTTCAAGGGGGTTATTGGTTTTGGTTTTATTTATTGTTATTAAGCATAAATATGAGCACATGGAAACAGTCATTTATTTAAACTAGCTTTCAGATAAAACTAAATTCATTGGTCTATTCTTAAGTCTTTGACTATGTGTATGTAATTCATTCAGACAAAAAGGCAAGGAAATAAAATCTCAAAATTTGTCAAGAAAAATGCTCCTTTTTTAAATAAAATTTAAATAGAATCAAGTCTTCAAATTATATCTTTCAATGCTTGCCTTTGATGAATTCATTTAGAATTTATCTTTGCTCGTCGCAATTTAAAACTAGCCATACTATCTGGCACTCATCACAATTTAAAACTAGCCATACTATCTGGCACTTGCAAATTGTGTCTTTTTTCACAATTTTGTGTTGTTGGGATGATGTTTTATTGATATTTAAAATCACTCATGTTACAAAAACTTACCAACAATTCGTCATGTGCTGAGTTGTTAACAGCCTCGTCCAGAGAGTGTATCGACAGATATGAACAAGTGGCCAGGTTGCCTCCAACACCCCTGTAATCAATTAAATTAATCCCAATCAATCATATATATTCTTTCATAATGATACGATATATACTGGGTTGCTATAATGTTAAAAACGGACATAACTCAAAAACAGTAAATGTGACACCATCCAAATTCGAATTTGATCTGAGATTTGTGGTCATAAGCATTGTGTATAAGTTTTATAACATTTGGTTGAGGCAAACATAAGTTAGAGAACAAAAACCAATTTCGGGACGTACAGACGGACAAGGGAAACACTTAATGCCCCCTCCACTGCAGCAGGGGCATTAACTTTTGGTGATTTTACTGTTAACAGCAAGTTTGTGGGTCATTTTAAGGTATAATTAAGTATGAAGGTTTTTTAAATTAGTGCAATTTTTTTAAGGGTACATTATCGTGTCATTTTTCAAAGTGAAATAGAAATTTTTAATTTACTATTTAACAAACATAACGTAAATACTAAGGGATTCTTCAGGTAATAGAAAACAACAATAATTTCTAATATGTCAAGGCACACATTTTCAACGATTTTATATGCAGTTTTGTCACATATGAAGCAGCAAATGCTACCGTTTTTAAAGTGTCTGGTACCCAGTTGGGAATCAAACACACAACATCCAGCACTCTACGTGAGCATGCTTCTATGGGACCACTGATGCTATTCCAACAATAATGAGCATTATTGGGAAATTGCTTGCCTCTAATCTATATTTCAGTTCAATATAAATCATTGAAGTTATCTAAGAAATTATCATTTATTGATATGAAATTGCTTATGTCATCAGCGATAAACTTCAGTTCTTTTTTTACCTTAGATTTACTTGAGTTCTGAAGCTCTTTTCACAAAAAAACTTAAGAGAAAAATTTCTCGTAAGTCATACACATTTCAGTATAAATTACGATCAATTTTATTCGTAAGATTTTTTGTGAAAAGAGTCGCTGTTTTTTATTTTATCAACAATCTTTTTTTTTTCATACTTGCTTTAGACACAAGTGATCCCTTTGTGAAGCAAATTGTTGTTATTATATAATATTGTATTTATTATGTATTTATTATCCCTTAGATGTATTTATTATCTCTTAGATGTATTTATTATCCCTTAGATGTATTTATTATCCCTTAGATGTATTTATTATCTCTTAGATGTATTTATTATCCCTTAGATGTATTTATTATCTCTTAGATGTATTTATTATCCCTTAGATGTATTTATTATCTCTTAGATGTATTTATTATCCCTTAGATGTATTTATTATCCCTTAGATGTATTTATTATCTCTTAGATGTATTTATTATCCCTTAGATGTATTTATTATCTCTTAGATGTATTTATTATCCCTTAGATGTATTTATTATCTCTTAGATGTATTTATTATCCCTTAGATGTATTTATTATCTCTTAGATGTATTTATTATCTCTTAGATGTATTTATTATCCCTTAGATGTATTTATTATCTCTTAGATGTATTTATTATCCCTATCCCTTAGATGTATTTATTATCCCTTAGATGTATTTATTATCTCTTAGATGTATTTATTATCCCTTAGATGTATTTATTATCCCTTAGATGTATTTATTATCTCTTAGATGTATTTATTATCCCTTAGATGTATTTATTATCTCTTAGATGTATTTATTATCCCTTACCGGCCTTAGATGTATTTATTATCCCTTAGATGTATTTATTATCCCTTAGATGTATTTATTATCTCTTAGATGTATTTATTATGCCTTAGATGTATTTATTATTTAGATGTATTTATTATTATTTAGATGTATTTATTATCTCTTAGATGTATTTATTATCTCTTAGATGTATTTATTATCCCTTAGATGTATTTATTATCTCTTAGATGTATTTATTATCCCTTAGATGTATTTATTATCTCTTAGATGTATTTATTATCTCTTAGATGTATTTATTATCTCTTAGATGTATTTATTATCCCTTAGATGTATTTATTATCTCTAAGATGTATTTATTATCCCTTAGATGTATTTATTATCTCTTAGATGTATTTATTATCTCTTAGATGTATTTATTATCTCTTAGATGTATTTATTATCCCTTAGATGTATTTATTATCCCTTAGCCTACCTGAGAGTAGCTGGCATCTGAGCATGATACCATCTGTTCATATCAAACACTGCCATTTGGTAAGTTTTCTGACTGCTTTCTGTGGACTCCCAAACAAAAAGGCAACGACTCAAATCAGGACCATGAACGCCTGAATAAAAAATACTTCTACACAATTTCATATATTACATGTATTATAAGAGGACTTGAAAGTGGGGGTCATTTTTTCATACATGAAGTCACAGCATAAACAACTTCTATTATCATTTAAACAGCATTCACAGCAAGAGTTTTTCATTCTTTTTTGTAAAATGTTTAAAATTCTTGGTTGAATACAACACTGAAAAATTGAAATGTTTTTAATGACTTAAAATTACAAAGGAGTAGGTCCAGTAAGACCCCTTTTTGGCCCCAAAATATAGCAGTTTTACAAAACTGTTAAAATGTAAACTTTTAGCTATTTATTGGAAAGTAGAATACTTCTGCTACATAAATATGGGCTGTTTTTGACAATACATTGCACATATATCGGGTACTAGCATCATTAAGTCATGCTAAATTACTGAAATCTTCAAATTTGAGCATTTTTAGTTAAATTTTCATTTTTGACAAAAACCATCTGAAAAGTGACATATTATAAATGGCATTTTTGATAGATTTTTCATATTTAATCTTCAATTTGAGCTTCGACTAAATCAGTTCAAATCTTTCACATAAACTAATTGAATCAACTGAAGACGACACTTAAGTGTTTCAAAAGTGTCCAAAATCTTTCATTAGATGAACTTAAAATTTGAGGCCAAAATCAGCCCTTACCGGACCTACTCCTTTCTCATGAATCGACCACAATTCTTCGATTTTGAGAAACAAATATAAACTGAAAGTTTGTTGAACAGTAAGAATATAATGGTGAAATATCAATACATTTCACAGAAACCAAATCTTCAAATATAAGTCATTGTGACCAAAGTGTTGAGGGCTGTTCCATTAAAACATACATGTTACACAGGGAAGGCACTTTAAAAATGGGGTAACCACCTACAGAGCAAGGGTCCGGAAACAGTCATATTTGCCAGTCATGTCCTAAGATGAAACTATTTGTCCTAAACGAGTAATTGGGATTTAGGACAAATTTTATTTTTTTACAGAAGTAATTTCGGTCATTTCATTGACTCAATGTTTGAAATCGGATTTCTTAATCGCCATTTTGCACTTGTGATCACTTGTTTTTGTTTATAATCCCTTTCCTGTAATAAAACTGCCACTACAGTAGTTTGATAATCCTGAGGGCCCTCCTAATATCTATAGCAATGCCTCCGGGAAACATTGGCTAATGATCGCTAATCACTTTTTACCTGTGGTTTTAATTCACACCTGACAGTGATCACAAGCTCAGAATAACATCTTTAAAACATTCAAGTTCCCTGACAAGTGTATTCATTATTTATTTACTTTTCATCAAAGACAGTCATCAATTCTGATTAAAAAATTAAATCTAAATTTACGTAGAAAAAAGTATTTTTTCGTGAGTAACACGTGTGCTTTATTTACTATGTAATACGCATGCGTGAAATTGTCTTCAGCAAATTTAATATTTAATCGTAAAATGCAAATTGATTTCATGCTAAATTAAACGAGTGCAACTATTATCTGTTATATTCAAACACTTTTAAAGGTAATAAAATAAAAAAGCCATTAACCATGTTAACAGTGATTTCCTGTCAATTTGATAAACAAAACAAATCCCGGAAATGAATCCGGAATTATTCGTACTTTAAAATATCGCAAACTTGAGATTTGGAAGTGCCTTCCCTGGGTCCCATGTATGTTTTTATGGAACAGCCCTGAACAGTTTGTTGAAATATCATTTGTATTTTTATAAATATCTAAATATGTGATAAAAAATTGAGATAAACCCAAAACTTAACAAAAATAGGACACAGATGAACAGAAAATGTCAGGTCATCTGCTGATTGACAAAAGCTAGATATAAAAGATGAAAAGGTATCTTACTTTCTTCAAAAGATTCCTCCTCATTGAGTTTGGCAGGAGGTTTGTAGTTTGGATCTTCCAAAGTATATCCTGTGATGGCTCTGCTGGAAACTGTTGTATTAGAAGCACCATTGAATAAGTTAGCAGTCATTTCAAGGTCAAATCTCAAACTGACAGAGGTTAATTCCTGAAATATAAAATAGCAAAATTTGACAAAATATAAGACTATCTGAATCTTGTGTTCATCTATTCACTAGCAATAGAAATATGTTTTAATGTGACACTTGTGCTCTATAGTGATTAAGCCAAGATGTTTCTAAAGATCTTCATTAACACTTAAATAATGCCACAGACAAATTGTGTCATCAAGGCTAATATTCACATTTTCTTCTGCAATTAAATGAATGTGATTATACAATATTTTTTTTATCTATGTTAAATACATGGCAAAATTAGCCCCAAAATGTTAGCATTCCTTTTTTTTCTGTTAACTGTTTGTTTTAGAAAGAGCTTCTAGTTTCAAATTATGATATTGTTTTTAATAGTTCTAGCATTTAAAAGACCAATTCCATTTTGGAAAACAAAGGCTACATCTGGAACAAATTTAATTTGTCATAAATAGATGCAACTGGGTGATATATACATCCTTTAACCCCAGTTGCAGCTGATCATGCCTGTAGTTTGATTTCAAGTCATTCCTTGCCATCCATAATTTTCAAAACTGCTCTACCTGAACTGTATTAATAACAGGGAATACTTTTTTCAACAATATGAGTTAAGATTATTTATAACTCATATTATCAAATTGCGGTTAATTATGGAAGATAAAAGAACAAGATACAGTGAAGCGTGTTTTAAGAGACCACTTAAGTAAGAGCAAAAAAGTAGACTCATAAGACAGGTGGTCTTTTAATACAGGTTCAATCTATATGAAATGCACTGCAGAGGGACCTAGTTAATTATCTTATAACACAGGTTTTTGTTATATAATACAGGAAGTCTCTTATGCAGGTTTGACTGTACATGAAGTGGAAAACAGTTTGTTGATTTTTCAGATCAGTGTACATATTCAACTCTTTATAATTTCGGCAATAAAAGGAGGAGGACAAGGTCATTATTTGGCACACTGAAATAGGAAATTCAAAAGTCTGTTATCCTTCAGATGTTAACAAGACATTCCCTTTTCAGATATAACTATTTTTACCTTTGAATTTTGGTTAACTTATCTTCATTAGAGCTTCAAACTGGTTATTTTACAGAAAAGCGTCAAAATCTGCCAAAATATCCTTATTTATAGACCTCTACATATATATTTAAATATGAGCCAAGGCATTTCCCAAAAAGATAGTTTGCTTAAAGATGTCTTACCAGAGCTCCAGATAAGCTGCATATTTGCGTGATCACGCAATAAAAATAATGGAAAACCCAATTCATGCAAAGGAAAACCCAATAATTTGTCAAAACCATGAGTTCTTAATGCTTTTAGTCGCTATTGTTCTAAAAATAAGAGTGTTGAAAGGGTACCTGTTGAAATTTTCCGTTGCTTAAAGGTACATGTGGTGATGAAAACATTTCGATCTTCTCTGTCTTTATCCAATTATAGTTAGTCATGTCGTCATAATTCTTCTCGTATTGCTCGTGATTTAACATTACACTTAGCAATGATTTAAAACGAAAGTAGATTTCCGGTAAAAATATTGAATAGAAGCATGTTTTTAGCTTCTTTTTGAGAGTTGAGGAATTTTGATGAAAACAAGACTCAGCTAGTGTTATTGCAATGGCGCGTCCAGGGCGTGTTTGCGTGCCTTAACGAGAACAGGGTTAGAACTCATCAGAACTAAATCAGTTGGAACATGAACGGCCAAATCACTTATATGAAGTCAGCATTGGAAATCAAAAGTTCTAATAAAGGACAAGTAAACCCAGATTTATGTAAATAAAATTAAACAAAAACATTGTTTATTTTTAGTTCAAGAGTAGATCTTTATATAATATATATTTCATTTTAGTTGATGAGTGAACACACATATTAGTTTTGATGTAAATGTAGCTTGCCACTTTCTTTGTTTTTGGTCTATTGTTCTGTATGCCTAAGATGCATGTAGTTGTCTTATTGGCAAGTGCAGTACAACATTGACATTTATTTATTTGATGTTGCAGGCTTATTTGTAAATTGAATGTGGTCTCAGTCATTAAACCACCCTATAAACCTGGGCAAGGTTTTGATGTATATATATCTTAAATCTGGGAGCTACTTATTTTTTTTTAAAGTAGGTCTGGAAAACAGGTGATAGGGACTGGCAACACTATCTTTCATCACTTAATGTTCACAAATATTACATAAAAATCTGAAAACTATTAGCCACACCTATCCCAAATAAACTGAATGGTGATCATATGTGCTCTAGAAAGGTAATTAGGTACTGTCCTATTAGTGCCACCAGTAAATATAAGTTATGGAAAATACAAAACTTTGTGTTGAAACCGGACACAAATTAAATGTACAATTGCTCATCAGTGTATAAACCAAATAAAACAGCTATCACATATAAAAGAAACATATTTTATTAATAAGATGGATGAACATCTCTGTTTGATAGAATGTGATTATGACATGCCTAAATTCAATATCGTGTTGATGAGAAAACCCAATATGTTAAGGAGCTTGGTGGTGAAAAACCCAATTTGATATTTGCTTGAAGGGGTGAATTGGAATTAATAATGCAATTGAAAAACTATTTCACTCAATTAAATAAAAAATGGTGGGTAAAAACACCAATTTGTGAATTCTTATCTGGAGCTCTGGTCTTACACAAAGATGTTTATGTGGGTAAAATATCTTTTTGGGCAAGTCTCATATTTACATTGGCCGAGAACTCGATTATATCATCCTATTTATTTATCAATAAAATAAAAATTATTTTGAAAGAACTTAAGAATTTTACAGTTTTGCAATTTTAAGAACAAACAATGGCTCATATCATACATCCTCCTTTCATGGAATTTTAGGGGCCATATTGAACCTTTGTGTTCCCCCTCTTTTAAATTCCATTTAAATTACCCTGTGTGGACTATATATTTACCTCATAAAAAGCACCATAGTTACTATACCAAGTCTTCTTGTTGTAAGCCAGCTGATACAGAGCTGCAGATGATATCATCTCTTCTCTGAAAATAAAATTCACAAATTAGTCTATTTAAAAAATAACAAGAATCCATCAAATGTCATGTTAAGCATACCCCCAAAGGTAATTCAAAGTAATGGAAAATAGGAAGAAGGTGTCTAACAGATCAGAAAAACACTCACACTTTACAACTGATCACCTTTAAACTGTCGACCAAATATGAAGTCATTCTGTTCAGTTGTCAGAGAGAAATGTGTGGCGAAATTATTTCTTTTCATTCATCATATCAAATAAAGAGCTGTGCCATGAGCGCATGATATGCCCGTCGCTTTTACAATGAATAAAGTTCCATTGCTCCTCAATGTCATATCAGAAATTTATAAAAACTAAAGGGAGGTTATTTTAATAGATATAAAACAATTGTAATAGATATAAAACAGTCACCAAAGTTTCATGAAAACTGCTCAAAGCACTTTTGAGTTATTGTCCAAAAACTGGAAAATCCCCCTTTTTTATGAATAAAATCCTACAACTCGGAAAATAAAATAAAAAATTTACAAAAATCAAAAGGGAGCTTATGTTAATAGATATAAACAAGTCACCAAAGTTCACGAAAACTGCTAAAAGCATTTTTGAGTTATTGTCAGAAAACTGGAAAATCCCCCTTTTTTAATGAATGAAACCCCACAACTTGGAAACGTAAAATCTAAATTTTATAAAAATCAAAAGGGAGCTCACTTCAATTGATATAAACAATTCACCAAAGTTTCATGCAAATTGGTTAAAGCGTTTTTGAGTTATTGTCCGACATGTTGACGACGGACAGACAACGGTATACCATAATACGTCCCGTAAACGGGCGTATAAAAATTCAAAGTATTGGCAAACACTTAGTAGGTATCCAATAAATCCATAAGTGATAATACTATACACCCATCACTGTCAAGCAGCTGACCAAATATAAAATCATTTTGATAAGTAATCCATGAGAAAAGTGCAAAGGAAATGTGTTTAGGACAACCAGACAGACAAATAAGGTGAATTTATAATAGCCCCCTCTCCTAGATTGGGGTTATACTATTTTATGGTGATAACAATTATTGTATGTAAGAAGGTTTCAAATGTTTAGTTGATCTGTCAAACAAATGTTTCAATGTTGCTGGAATGTTGTCTTATTGATATAAATCCCACAACTCCTTTTCTAAATATTACAAAATAACTTTTACAGAATAGACATATAGATTAGACCGTTGGTTTTTCCGTTTGAATGGTTTTACACTAGTAATTTTTTTGGGGCCCTTTATAGCTTGCTGTTCGGTGTGAGCCAAGGCTCCGTGTTGAAGGCTGTACCTTGACCTATAATGGTTTACTTTTATAAATTGTAACTTGGATGGAGAGTTGTCTCATTGGCACTCATACCACATCTTCCTATATCTATATAGAGGTCTACATACTCATCAACAATGGACATGTGCTCATACAAGATGGTAAGGTTTATTAATTGTCCAGCTTCTACAATAAGTGTGAAAATTTCAAAATCAAACAGAAGTTCTTTTAAAACTGATTTTGAGTTTAAGATCAAATTAATCTTTCCAAGGAATAATAATGAACAAAAGAGAAAAGGGGATTTACTTCAATGAGACAGAAGTTTTTAGGATCATTTTCTGGTTCCTGGTAAGCCACATGAAGGACAAATCCACTGTCTACTTCAATGAGACAGCATCCCAGCAACACACAAGAACATAAAGCCTTTACTTACTCTTCAGAATCACAACCTCTGATGATCCAGATAACAGAAGTTTTTAGGATCATTTTCTGGTTCCTTGTAAGCCACAAGAAGGACAGATCTACTGTCTACTTCAATGAGACAGCATCCAAGCAACACACAAGAACATAAAGCCTTTACTTACTCTTCAGAATCACAACCTCTGATGATCCACAGATAACAGAAGTTTTTAGGATCATTTTCTGGTTCCTGGTAAGCCACATTGAGGACAGATCCACTGTCTTCTTCAACTCTTGAACTGTATCTGAAAAGATCAAATTTAAACTTTTGTTTATAAACCATTGTAATTTGAATATCATCATATCTAAATTTTGAAGATCCATTTAATTGGAATCACTAAATAGGATGGATGGCTATTTTGATGGACAATCTGTCAATTTATTCCTAGACAGGACCATGCTGATTTGATATGAATACTGTAAATTAATGGGTGCATTTATTATTACGAATCCCTGACCCTGGCAAAAATGCCAAAATCTTATTAATGTGACTGCAAATTTTTTTTAAAAGAAAATGTCTTCTGAAATTATGAGTTTTTATTATTGCGACCTGATACTGTCTAATTTTTTCGCATTATTAAAAACATCGCAAAATTTCCTGAATTTACAGTAGATAATTTTTACCAAGTTTTAATTTTTGCACATTGAAGGAAAACCCTGTTTGATTTGTTTTATTTTCATGTTTTTTTATCACTGATTCTGATTTTGATTTTAGGTGCAAACCTGCATAAGAATTAGACAGTGGTGAAAACATGACAAACAAAAACCCACTCAAGTTAACATTATTTCAAATTCAAAATGTATAATGGTGCAGAGATATAATATTCATTTCCTTTTTCTATTCTGGTATTTCAAGATATAATTTGGATGAAATGCTCTTAATAGTTAAGAGGAACTACTCCATAATTTCCTATCATTCTAACCAAACATTATCTAGAGATGTCTCGAATTACCAGCACACAGAAACTCAAGACCTACCATTTGTTTCTCAGAATGAGGATAACTTAGGATGGTTAGGTTGGCAGGATTTTTTTGGCCTTGGTTTGAAATTCTTCTATAAAGTTGCCTGATTCCTACAAAAACTGGCTCTTAAATATCAAATTGAAGTTGGGTCGGTTCCATAAAATCATACATGGGACTCAAGGAAAGCACTTTCAGATCTCCACTATGTGATGTGATTCACCCAAGTTAAGTGAAATTCGTAATTTGCCTAAACAGGTGGTTACCCTATTATAAAAGTGCCTTCCATGGATACCACATACGTTTTAAATGGAACAATGGAGTGAATATTTTAGATATTTTATCTTTATCCTGTCCTGTTTACTGTATGACACTTGCTGTATACTTAACCAATACATTGAGTAAGATTTTTCACATTCAAGCTCATAAGGTAACAAATCTGATGGCATCTGTATACAAGATATGAATTATCAAACCTACTTGTGAGGTTTCATTTTCACGTTTTTCTTGTCTCAGAGTCTTAACTTCCTTAGAGATCAAATTTACTTAAGGAATAATTTCCTACTTAATATAAATCTGGATATTAGCAAAAATAAATCCTTCACGAAAAGTTTCCATTTTACAATAGAAACAAGCCACCAACCCTGCACTGCTCATTTTATAAGCCTTCAATCCCTCTCCACAAAAAAACTTAAAACAGCTTGTTCAACACTGGTACTTGCTGTTGCCCACACAACTTACTCTAAAACAGGTACATTTAGCCTCCATAACTGGTAGCTTCCAAAACTAAACCCTACAACCAGGGTCCCTATCTGTGGTATATACTTTAAACATGTTACTACAACATCACCTGTAATATATATAAAACAAATATTCATTGTCTGTGAAAATGATACTCATTTTTTTATTTAATATCTTGAAATTATTAAATAATATTTGGTAAGGTTACTGTTTTTACTATTATTATCCTATGATAGACCAAAATATCAGATATTTTCATTTTTAACCTACTGTGGATTCATTATTATTCGTGGGATACCAATTTCTGTGGATTATGTAGATACAGGCGAACCCCGATTTCAAATATTCAACGTATTACAAATTGCTATTGTATTATGTGCAGAATTTGGCGAAAGCATAAAATCAAATATCCACGAAAAATGCAAGTTTTACTGAATCCACGAAAATTAGTACCCACGAAAATAAATGATTCCACAGTAACTAATAAACAACTTTCCATTTTAATACCGTATATCGGCTTTTTTTCACGATTTGATGACAAAATGGGCAAGTTAAATTTTCGCTGAATTTGAAAATACAAGTGAAAAAATCACTGAATTGTAATGTTAACGATGTAAACAACATAAATTTTATTGACTGACAGATAATCGATTACAAATAAATACGTGTACTATAAACTAAGATACACATATTCGGAGATCTTTCAATAATCGTTTAAATCAAGTTCATAGTGGCATGGTGAAAATGAAGGTTTTGATCAAGTTTATGCTGGTATAACAGAGCATTTTGAAAGCACATTCGTGCAAATATCCGTTAAAATGTGATTTATTTTAATTTAATTTTTACACTAAATGCAGAATGTTCGGGTTATGACAACAATCAGTAGACGTCGTTAATTAACATTTTTGAACATGTCACTGACTGCTGTATTGTCAAAAGGTATGACATGTATGATAAGCCAATTTAATAATTATAAAAACAGATATCTTAATTAATTATACATACTCTTGTGATCTACAGATCAACACAAAAGACTGATTTTGTATATAATGTAATTTTACCTTTAGGGTGAAATGAGTTTCGATATCAATTGTATGTAAACTCGATAATTATAAGTTTTATCTATGAAACATTTAAACAGCTGTAAATCTTGAAATAGGCAGGGAAATTTACATGGGGTCAAACTTTCCTGTTTCTGTAGGTGCCAAAAGCGAAAAATTAAACACACGCGAAAAAACCCCGATATACGGTACTTGTTCATCTCAACTTCCTGCTGGTGAAAAACTTTCTCATTTGAAAAAAATATATAGATAGTTTTTAAACATTTTGATTTTGTTGTTGAGATATGTCTCTCTTGTATGTAATTTGATAGTAAAATGCAACTGTTGAAATTAACATTGTAAAACCAGAGCCTTGAAAATTGGTATTTGCTGCCCCTCTGCTAAGAACACAGCATTTGGGAGTCAGAGCAAAGACTAATTGTTTTAGAATAATGTGTCAGGATAGTGACATGTCTTCCTGCAGACTGTTACCCTGTGAACTAGCACATTAAACAAATGCCAGTCTAATACAAAGCATGTTCACATTCATATCACGTAGGATCTTGTCATTCCAATATGCAAGTAATATCTGCCGATGGACTTTAAACAGCAATCCATCAAAATCTGAGAATGTTTGCTCGAATTCTTTCATACATGGGAAGATTGTTTGTCATTATGCATCTATCTGTCCATCATACTGCATTAAACTCACTTGGATTAAACGATTTCAGTTCTGTGCCATCACATCTTCTATATTTAAATAAATTGCCATGGGATTCTTCTGAAATGGAATTAAATAGGACTGTCTTAAATTCATTTGTCATAACAGACGAAACCATTCAAATGTTAACCAAATTTCTTGAACAGGATTTTAAATTAGAATTGATTCAAACAGTTGTCAGTACTTCAAAAATGTACATGAAGTCTTGAAGGCACTTGTTCAGAAACCCCATCACCTGTATAATATGTTTTCCACATACTTAAGGATGTTCGCTGCTCTGTTTCAAAATAACAAGATTTTTAAGACTGTTCTAAAATGATAGTATATAAATAAAGGAACTAAAAAAGCAGAAAAAAATAAACTGCTTCGCTAAGCACAGCTGGATACGCCCGCAGAGGTCCAACCCTGAACAGTTGGGGCAAAAATGGACACAATATTCAAGCTTGATACATGTCTGAATTTGGATTGTAATTAAATATTTGACATATTATAGGTTTCTGAATAAATGTAGTCAAAGAACTTGAAATTGGTTATATGAATTGAATTTATATTCAACTAAAGATTTCTTGCTGTTGTGCAATACACTGTGCTGTTGCGCAATACTAAGTAAATCTGTTGTCAGACTATAAACAAATAAAGTTCAATTAATTCTCAATGTCATATTAGAAATTTTTGAAAATCAGAAGGGAGCTTACATCAATAGATATAAACAATTCCCCAAAGTTTCATGAGAATTGCTGACAGCATTTTTGAGTTATTGTCCGAAAACTGGAAAATCCCCCCTTTTTTAATTAATAAAACCCCATAACTCAGAAATGTGAAATGTAAAATTTATAAAATTCTAAAGGGAGCTTACATCAATAGATATAAACAATTCACCAAAGTTTCATAAGAACTGCTGAAAGCATTTTTGATTTTTTTGCGAAAAACTGGAAAATCCCCCTTTTTTTATGAATAAAACCCTGTAACTCGGATACATAAAATCTACAATTTATAAAAATCAAAAGGGAGCTCATGTCAATAGATATAAACAATTCACCACCATTTCTTGCAAGTTGGTGAAAGCATTCTTGAGTTATTATCCGTAAACTCGAAAATCCCCCTTTTTTTTAATGAATAAAACCCCATAACTCAGAAACGTAAAATCTAAAATTTATAAAAAACGAAAGGGAGCTCACGTCAATAGATATAAATAATTCACCAAAGTTTTATGCAAATTGGTTAAAGCCTTTTTGAGTTAATGTCCGACATGTTGATGACAGACAGACGGACAACGGTATACCATAATACGTCCCGTAAACGAGCGTATAATGAAGGGTCCATGTGCTTGTTTTCAAGATAAAAGCCATTTAAAATTTGGCGGGAAATGATTCTCTCTAGATTTTTGCATACTTTTAACATTGGCCGCTTTTTTGTTTCAAAAAATAATAAAAAAATAACAAGGATTTTATAAGATTTGAAAATATGGCTTTTTAAACTATATATAATAAAATTATGAAAAGAAGAGTAGGGGTTAGTGGGCAAAATTTTTTAATGGCAATACACAGACTACACGAAATACGTCGGACCGTCGGACAAATCCGGTGAATAATGGATCGGTCTGGTAAAATTTTGTTGAATTCCGGTCCTACTGTCCGGTGTTATATTTTTCGTGGATTTTTTTAAAAACCCTACATACTTCCCAATTTTGGGGGCAAAATTCCCAAACGATTTCAAAATTCATTCTCATCTTTATTATTCATGACAGCGATGTTTATTTTGTTCAACCGCTAGCATTATGCCGAAAATCGCATACAAGTAATGTGTAAATCCGAGTAAAAACATATATCCTGACTGACAAAAACAACAATGGCTGCCATCAACCGGAAATATAAACAATACCGGATCAGATTCCGGGAACGGATAAGGACAATTTCCGGGTTTGCCGATCAAATACAATAGAAACATAAAAAAAATCCAAGCAGGTTCACAAAATACAGCTATGAAATATAAACACTAGAATTGAAAACCAAAAGATATATGAAAATGAAAGAAGATACAGGAAATATTTTATACAGAAACTCAAAATTTTTAGTTCACAAATAATTTTCATGTCAAAATCCAATAAAATGTGACATTACTTTTCTTTATCACTAAAATGCATTCAAGCAATTGTGCACAACTTTCATCAAAATACATGTATACACTCTTTGTCACATGATTTTGTTTTTGTGCATTTTGGAGAGGAGTAGGGCACAATAAGTCATAAGATTGTTGTATTTTGTCGGATAATATACAATTAGATGTAAAAAATATTGGTCAGGTAAAATTTCATTCGGTCTGGTAAAACTAGGTTGTTTACCAGACCGAATGTCCTGTAAAAATAAAATTCATTTGTGTAGTCTGCAATACATGGATAAAACCAGAGGATTCAGGATATCTGGCAGAAATTCAAAAACAAGAGGAGCAAACATCCTTAAAGTTTAACCTCCACAGAAAAATCCATATTTGCCTTCAAGCATCCTCTGAAAACTATTTTAAGAACATCTTTGAGTTCTGCCTGAACAAAATGTTCAATCCCTTGCCGATATAAAACTTTTGAGTACTATTATTATATTCAGACTCAGAAATCAACCAATCAAAATACTGGATTTGGTGTTTCCAGCACAAATTTGGTAGTCCAAATATGCAAAAATAAGTTGGTTTTCGGTACACTGTTTGTTCTTTTAAGAAAGTTGTTAAGTTTACAGTTTTCCAGTCCAGATAGGTTCGGTTTGAACCTTCAGCATTGTACTTATATATTTTCGTATTTTCCTCCCTTTAAGGATGTACTTGGGTAAGGTTTAGAAATTTTTGTCAGATGTTCGGACTCCTTGGTTTTTTTCCTACGATACAGGGTAAAATATTTTGCCCCATAACACCCATTTTTCTTTTCATATAAGACTTCAAAAGCTCATAAAAAGTCATTTACCAAAATTTAAGCAGATTCTAGATTTCTTTTCTTTCGATTTGAGACCCAAATAATACCAATGCAAATATAAGGTAAAAGTCTGAGTCAGCCTTTTTCCGCCATATTTTAATAAAATGCTCCGCTGGGCGCAGCTTGATACGACCGCAGAGGTCGAACCCTGAACAGTTGGGGCAAGTATGGACACAACATTCAAGCTTGATACAGCACTGAATTTGGATTGTGATTAAATATTTGACACAGCATATAGGTTTCTAACACAGAATGAATGTGGTCCAAGAACTTAAAATTTTTTAATTTACCTATTCAAACCATATCATTATTATTTGCTTTTATATAAAAATCAGAAATAACCAATTTAAAATGGAAAATTTTAAAGAATAAAAAAGGAAAAAAAAATCCCTCCCCAAAATTTTTTGAACCCCCTTATGATTCATCACCCATAACTCAATCCCAGCCTTCCCTTTGTGGTATGGTACCTTGCAGTACAATTTCAGAGAGATCCATACACTTGAACACAAATTATTGTCTGGAAACTAGAAAAATGCTTGTTTTTAGGCCCCTTTTTGGCCCCAAATTCCTAAACGCTTAGGGCAATTACCCCCAAACTCAAACCCAGCTTTCCCTTTGTGATAAGGAACCTTGTAGTACAATTTCATAAAGATCCATACACTTACACACAAGTTATTGTCCTGAAACTATAAACATGCTTGTTTTTTGCCCCTAATTCCTAAAATTTTGAGGCAATTACCCCCAAAATCAATCCCAGCCATCCCTTTGTGGTATGGTACCTTGCAGTACAATTTCAGAGAGATCCATACACTAGAACACAACTTATTGTCTGGAAACTAGAAAAATGCTTATTTTTGGCCCCTTTTAGACCCTTATTCCTAAACGTTTTGGGCAATTACCCCCAAACTCAATTCCAGCTTTCCCTTTGTGATAAGGAACCTTGTAGTACAATTTCATAAAGATCCATACACTTACACACAAGTTATTGTCCTGAAACTAGAAAAATGCTTGTTTTTTGCCCCTAATTCCTAAAATTTGAGGCAATTACCCCCAAAATCTATCCCAGCCTTCCCTTTGTGGTATGGTACCTTGCAGTACAATTTCAGAGAGATCCATACACTTGAACACAACTTATTGTCTGGAAACTAGAAAAATGCTTATTTTTGGCCCCTTTTAGTCCCCTTATTCCTAAACGTTTTGAGCAATTACCCTTAAACTCAATTCCAGCTTTCCCTTTGAGATATGGAACTTTGTAGTACAATTTCAGAAAGATCCTTACACTTCCACACAAGTTATTGTCATGAAATTAGAAAAATGCTTGTTTTTTGCCCCTTTTTTTGCCCCTAATTCCTAAACGTTTTGGGCAACTACCCCAAAAAACAATCCCAGCATTCCCTTTGTGATATGGAACCTTGTGGTACAATGTCAGAGAGATCCATACACTAACACGCTAGTTATGCCTGGAAGTTACAAAAATGCTTATTTTTGGCCCCTAATTCCTTAACTGTTGGTACCATAACCCCCAAAATCAATCCCCACCTTCCTTTTGTGGTATTGAACCTTATGGTAAAATTTCATAGAGATCCATTCACTTAAACTAAAGTTAGAGTGCGAAAACCAATGTGTCTTCGGACGACGATGACGCCAACGTCATACCAATATACGACCGCAAAATGTTTTTGCGGTCATATAAAAATTAAATATCTCGAAAAGGAGCTCCATAACCTATCAATATGTTTAGCTTATTTTGTTCCTTTACTAATGCTTTTCTGACTTATACAATAGTATCAATTGTAAATTCTTTTAATTTCACCTAAGTACATCCTTAAGTTACATATTCCTTATGTTTAGGACATCCTGTCCTCTTTAATATAGTTTTAGCGCGTCTTTATTTATACATATTTATTCATGATTTTAACTTTCACATTATATGTACCAGTTTTTCCGTGACATATAATCATTGTAAACTTTAAAGTGTTTCAATGCAGTAGGGATCAAAAGTAATTGTTCTCAATTTTACCATCTAATACAAGACAAAGGTGATTTCTTTTAGCAATAGCTTGTCTACGCCGATCTGCCGTGTCTCTGGATCTCGGAGTGATGTACTGTAACTTGGATGGCATTACCTCATCTGAATGAATATTTTCATCCATACACATATCTGAAAAAAGATTTGATGTAATGTCTACAAAAATATCCACAGCTATATACTAAAGATAGAACAATTCAATGAAATAAACATTTTAGTAGACTATGCAACAATAAGTAAAAACAAAGTTAACTTCAAAAAAATATATTCAGACTTTAAAATTGAATCTTGACTGTCCTATTATATATACAATATATGTACATTGTCGGAAAATATAAAATTTATTTGTACGAGCTTTAGAAACAGGATGAAAAGGGAGATTTGCTGAGCTTTTATCCTGTTTCTTAGCGAGTACAAATACATTTTATATTTCCGATAATGTCCATATATTATTTTTATCCTGCATTTCACAACCAGTACTTGAGTGTTAGTTTTTAAAATCCAAATCATTGCCTCTGATTATTCAAAGAAATCGACTTGGTTGAAACACGGACCGCGAAGTGGACCCCAAAATGAACTGTTACCCAGAAAGAAATATCCATATTACTGCTTGCTCAACATGGAAGCGGGTAACAGGAGTCTTTATTTGTACATGTTCAAATAAAGCAAAAATTTATTTTTGTACCTGTTATTTGTACAATAGTTGGCTGATTGCAGGATAAAAGAAATTTACTTTCATTTTACCCAGCTGCCATGAATAAAACAAAAAAATTATCATTTCCTATATTTGACACGGCTATCCTTTTAATATAGTAAACATTCATCAAATTAAAATAGATGTGCCTTTTGACCCGCCAAACAATCAATTCTGGAACAGTCCTTACATATATCTGATCTCACAACCTCACTAGAAAAATACATACATACAATTTCTATGATTAAAACATATACTTAAACAAAAATGTGTATTCCTATGACACCATGCTCAACTCATACTATCACATTTCCATGTTGAGTGGACCATGAAATCTAACTTGGCCTATATATTTGTAAAAGGTTACATCAAAATAAACATGAGTACTTAGTTTCAAGTTTGTATAACGACTTAATGGTACACTACCTTTAACCAAAAGATTACCCTGATCAGTGAACCATGAATATTTTGACTAAAACCCTAATATTAAATGTATTTTTTAAAAAGTTCACATCAAAATGAACATGTGTACAAAGTTTCAAGTTGATGAAACCACAACTTTATGGTAAACTACCAAAACTTTAACCTGATCAGTGAGCCACGAAATCAAGTTCAAAACCCTAATTAAGATTAAAAGACCCCATCATTTTGAGCATTTGAGTACTAAGTTTAAAGTTGATGTGACTAATAATTCATGGCAAACAACCTTAAGCCAAATCTTGAACCTGTTTAGGGACGGAGGAACAGAAAACATAATGCCTTTTAATATTGTAGGTAAGGCATTTAAAACTTTATTAGCTGTTGTTTGCTTTTTGTCCAATGGCAAATATATCATGTGTATTCAGGAACAGAACAGTGAATCTGTGAGCTACTGGTCTAATGATACCCCTGCCCCGCTAAAAGTATAAGGTAAACAGGAAGTTGTTGAGTGATGAATCTGAAAACGCATCACACAGTATAGCTGACTCATATAAAACCTGAAACCAAATTTCAGAAATCCTTGTAATGCAGTTCCTGAGAAAGATGCGACAAAAAATACTCATGGGACGGACTGACCGATGGACTGACAGATGGACAGACAGAGGTAAAACAGTATTTTTTTGAAAGCGGGGGTATCATCAACAATAAATCCAATAAAAATAGCACAACCTAAGACTTACCTATTAAATATACAATACCGGATATGGTTCCCACAGCAATTATTCCATCAAATAATCTCAGCTGGTCATTTAGAGCCCACATTGGAATAAAATCTCCTCCTACATTAGTGACAACCTCAACACTATTTATCTGAAAAACAGTAACATGCATGAATACCTATAGTTGTTAACTTCTTTGTCATTTGGTCTCTGGTCGAGAGTTGTCTCATTGGCAATCATACCACATCTCCTTATTTTATATATTTCAAATAAAAAAAGAACAAATAATTCAAATGAATTTAAAGGGGCATTAGCTACGAGATATAAAAAAATTAAAATATGATTTGTTTTTGTTCAATCATTACTGAAAGTGAAATAGTGAAATAATAATTCGCTTTTACAAGCCAGTTTGGTTCAAATTTGTAAAAATAAGCTATTAAAGAAATATCGTTGATTAATTATTCACTTGCAAGTGAATAATTCGACCTCATTGAATCCGTATTCATGTGACCTCCAATTTAACCCATTAGCTAAAGATGGGTTACGCATGAACTAGGTGTGTTCAGCTATTAAAAGGAAAACAATGTCAACATTGAAAGTGAAACAAGGGTAAACCATTTGTTTGACTGATTCGATCCACAAAAACTCATTCTTATACACTAAGGTAAAAACATGATTAACATATTTTTTTAACCTATTATATGAAATCAAACAGACCTAGAAAAATCCAACTGCACATTGTCGCAATCTATCTATTTATATCTATATTAATGTTTATATAGGGTTATATGACCATCAGCAGTCTTTGGAGGTCACTTTGATGGTTAATTAGATGGCGTTTAGACTAAAATCAAACAAAATTCTGATACATATTATCGAGTCCATGCATCGCAAATTGTTTATTTTAGACTTTTTATAATTTGGATATACATTTTAGTATGTTATAAATCAAATATGAGAATTTGAGTCAAATCTGTGAACATGAATTTGACAGCTAATGCCCCTTTAATGACCTATCCTACCTATTTCAGAGTTATTCATGGGTAACACACTTTGTCCAACTTACTTTGTGAGGTATTTCAATGACCTTGCTTAACCTTGAGCTCTGCAAGTCTAGTACACATAACATGCTTGTCTGTTGGGCATTGCATACTCCCACCAAAAGTTTGGGACTGTTGCCATAGCAATATTCTTTGACACATGTGATGTAGCTGTGTGTGTCTTTGATAGTGACACCAAATGCCCATGCTGCTAAACGTCTCCTAGAGGTTGAATCTAGTACCTCTATCACTGGACCTCTGACTAACCACAAGAACTTTCCATCTATTAAATAAATAACAAGCATTGTACCTATTGATTTCTGAAAGAAGAAAACCTACTGCAATTCACAGTTTCTGAATCTAAAGAACAATGGATAATTTTGTTGTTCATAACCCCAAAAAGAAAATAAGGTAATATCATTGCTATTTCTATTGTTTAGGACTTTTTTGACTGATCACACTGTTTTGTTGTATGCTTTTGAAAATATTACCCACATGGCCAGAATGCTTGGATTCTGAAACAGTGAATTGCAAGACTTGGTGATTATTTACTAGATCAGATGGTCAGGTTGTATAATATTTGTTAAAAAATTCTCTTGAAAACACAGTCCAATGGTTTTCACTTGTAAAGAAGTTTAGGGTGATAAATTTTTTCGAATAAACATGACAAAAGATTAGATAATTATTGACTTTTTCCAAATGTTGTATGTAATTTCTGGTCAGTTTTGACTACATGTATATCTGTATTTCTTTTTTTGGTTTGGTTTTGACTATATACATGTACAATAACTATGTTCTAGATTAACTATAGAATTTTGACTATGGTGTGAGATTTGGAGTATTTATCCTTCCCAGTTGTATGAGATGTCACCAGTATTTACCACATATACAATAAACAGAAAACAAATGCTCATTAGATATAGATTACTTTCACATTCTTGCATTTTTCCTAACTTTTCTTATGTGACAATTATGTTATTGCGTCACAGTAAGAGTGACTTGTTCAAAGATGTCATTTACACCAATTGATCTCAGGTCAACCAGCAGCATTCTTAAATTGTTTGTTATAAATTAGGCCATTAGTTTTCTCTTTTGAATTGTTTCACATTTTTCATGTCGGGCATTTTGTAGCAGGGATCTCCATGACCTGTTTTATGATGGCGCACCGCCATCATTAAAATATGTTCCGCCATTGTTAAATTATCTTCCACCATTGTCAAAATTTGTTTTTGTTTCTCTAGCCGCCACCATTTTTGTTAGCAATTATAATCAATTTCATGTAATTGCATAACCCTTATAGTATTATAATCCAAAGGGACTTTCTGATTACAGTTTTAAAGTCCTGAGGGATATCCGGCTTAAATCGCTAATCACTTGTACAGGTAGATCAACACACCTGACAGGAGAACACTTGATCAAGATGGATGATTGATTGCATTATTTAATTACGTTTCAGTAAATGCTAATGATTGATTGATTGATTGTTGGTTGCTTAACGTCCAGTGGTAAATGCTAATGAAAATTAAGATTAAAAATTAAATTTTAAATCCAGTTACGAAGAAAAAAGTTTAACAAGTCAAGCACATGCTTTTACATTGACTTACGCAATCGCCATCCCCCATTTTAAACGAGTACAAAACAAGACATAAAACAGGATATAATTTCATGCAAAACAACACGAGTACAGCAATTATCGATAATATTGAATTCCTTTACAAGTTTAAAAGTAAATACATGAAAATTACCTGCAACATGATAATCTGAAGAAATTTTGTATTGTTATTCCGAATTCATTTCGAGGTTTACAATCAAAGTAATACATCCGGTTTACATTCAGAATATAAAGATGCATGTTGCATATTCTATTATTTCTATAAAATTTCCAATTTAAAGTCATTAAAACCATTTAAGTTGTAAACATTTGACCTCTAAATCTTTCTTACAAAATGGATACGAAACTTCTAGTTGTTGATGCTGCAAATCATTGATACCAGTTCATGACTTCTGAATTTGAGTGAAAAAAAGATCCCCCCTCGATTTTTAAGTCCTAAACAATAACCAGAATAGCAAGAAAACGACCTGAGAACCTCCAGGACAGCGTGTGGTCATTCTTGACTAAGCAGGAGCCATGCAGGCTTGACATTGGAATTGTTACAAATGATAGTTAATGAAAATATTGGTTATTATATAATGAAATAAATATAATAAGCAATACATTAGTCTGTTCACCATTCCTTGCATAGAAATAAAAGAATGAAATACTTTCGATCACGCCACGCCGTAAACGCAGGTTTTTATAATGGTGAAAGTTCTATAGTTCCTCGATCTTTAAATTTTCATCCATGGAGATCCCTGTTTTAGCTGACTATAATTGCTTATACACATTTCATTTGAACTTTGGTGGATAGTTGTCTCATATATAGGCAATCATGCCACATCTCCATATTTTAATATGCAGTTGTCTCATATATATAGGCAATCATACCACATCTCCATATTTTTATATATAGTTGTTTCATATATAGGCAATCATACCACATCTCCATATTTTTAAACTCATTTTAAAAAAAAAATTGTATAATACAGATCCCCATATACCGACTATATATATATCTTGGGTAAAGTGCGTATAATACATGACCGAATACGGTACAGCATTTAACTATTCCAAAACAAAATCACCACAGTTACCTCTGCTGACTCCAGAAAATACACCAGCATCATAATCTGTTACACCATGATGAAAAGGTAGTAATGGTGATACATGGTGTGGGGTTACACCTGGTCTCATTATGTCCCTAATGTATTTGCATGTTGATCCTTCTGTAAAAATGAAAGAATAAGTTGTTGTTTAATCTACATTTGTTATTAGAAGACAAAGTCCTCATATCAGTAAGAAAATAAATAAACTAGTTAATCTAAACTTGTTTAACTTTTTTACACACATTTGCACTTGCTCATTCGGGCTGTCATGGGCTGCCATGTTGTAAAGCATTAGTTTCCCCCCAAATTTGTATATATCTGATAACCAAAAAATCACAAATATAATACAGACTTTATCCTCTTTCACAGGTTACACCTGCATGACCTGCCGCATGTTTTAAAATAAGAAATAAAAGAACTGCATTGTTTTATCCTGATTTTAATACAAAATCTCTGTTCCAACTGGTTTAAACTAGATACTTATGCATGTCATATCAAGTATATGCGATAGTATCATTCACTTGAAAGATATGTTATTTTTAAGAATTTCCTCATTTTAATGTACGAATTTGTTGCTCTTGTCTTCATAAGGAACCTTTCATTCATTTGATGTATTGAAAGTCTTCAATAACACAACTCTTCAATTGATTTCTGTAGAACCAGAGGTTTGAACAATATTTTTTTATGCAATCCAAAATTTAAAATAAAATCAATTAAAAGGGAAATATGGCTGTAGGAATAAAGCAAACGTTGATATTTTTACTAACATCTTAGCAGTCAGGGGAATAACTGCAATAAGTGACTTTTATATCACTCATTTAAGTAGCAAATTAGAAATTCTGTGATTTTGTAGTTTTACCAAAATTTTAAACATACAGGTTTAGATTATACCTAAATTCAGCCTGATTATAAGCAAAATTGAAAAAAATGGACCTTTTGCTTCTTTTAAGTAGCAAGGTTTATGCCTTTAAAGCAATCATTCATCTATCAATTCAAAATTTGTTGAAAAAAATGCTAAAATGAAGGCTTTACATAATGATCTAAAACTCTCTTAAACTGCTAAACAGATTTTTCCCAGCAGTAGGAGTATTTTTCCTGTAAAATTAAAGGTTTCAGCTTACAGGTTATGTAATAAAAGTTTACTGTTTGCAACGGAAATTTTACAGTTCGGGGATGTTGAAAAAAGTGGGGGGTAATTAGAAAAATAATACTTAAAGAAATGATTTTTTGGAAGAAAATAGAGGTATGATACTTAAACAAGTGATTTTCATATCATTATCCCAGATTCAGTACAAGGTCATCACCTGACATGACCAGTCATCATATAAACACAGATGTTGGCAGGCCATAATCTTGCCGGCGAAATGACGATTTAAGTCGCCAAAGAATTTTGAAAATCGCTAAATCTCGCCGGCCGACTGACTTCATAGCGAAGTCAAATCGCTATCATAATCGGTAAAAGGGAGACAACTTGTAATTGACAAGTCTCACAGGTAAAAAAAATGGCGGCTGACAAGGAAAATCGAGATTTTCGAAACGACCCAGAACTAATACTGTCAACGATCAAATTAAATAAATACAACGGCGACTTTGAACATCCTCGGATATAACTTTTAAAACTATTCTAACGGAAAACTGACCGTCTGTTTAAGTTATCATTTTACGATGATTTTCATCTGAGGATATTGCGTAATCACTCAGCTGATTTGTTTTATTTTTATAACTTACACGAGTCGATCAATTTTACTAGTCGGTAGGTAAAGGGTGGGAATTAACGGTAGATTTATTATATTGATTGAATAAAAATTGAAATATAAAAGGTAGAAAGACAGCTGATGGATAATGTGATTGTAAACGTACGACACTCTACCAGATAGTGATCAGCAGTGGATTTTTTCTCACGACCATTTCGTTGATATGGATGATATTTTTAAAAAATGATAGAAATTAGCTCTTTATCGGATAATTAATATGCGATTGAAAGATATTTTCATTTATAGACTTACAATCTTCAACGATAATCTCAATTTACATCTAACATAATGTCCTGGACATTCAATAATGTTTTACAAAATAATGACAAGTGGTGATATAATTTAAATTCCCAGTCATCTGAAATTCATCAGGTAAACTGGGAGTCATATGTTTTCTGGACTTTTAAAAATAAATTGAGGCAGATGCACATGGATTTAATGCATCATAATCATGATAATATTACTAGGCTACTCCCTCATGTCCCAATCAACAAATTTTATTTAGAACACAATGGTATCAATAAATAAATAACAACTATATATTGTCTAAACCTTTTTATTAAGAACTTTCTATATATATACATTGTGTACAATAACATATGAAAAAACTGCAAGTATATCTTTTATTGAATATAAAACAATTTTCTTAGTGATAAGCATGAAAACACGACGCGACCGAAACGGTAATGGAACCTCACTTCTCCAAGAGAAATTGACCACTTCTCCCTTCTCTCTCATGGAAGGAGAAGTCACTTCTCCCTCTTCAAAATCCTAGATTAGGCCCTGTGTTGGTTCTGATAATTTTAGCAGCATAATTAGTCCCAGGATCATTAATATTATATATTTAAAGCTACAATAAAATAAAATCATTTAGTTTAGTGATTTATTTGTACTACTTAGATAGGTGATTATTAATGGAAGAAAACTCTTACTTGCAACATTTCATGACAAAATGTTAATTGAATCAGTGATTTAAGAAATCACTCATTTAAGTTACTCCCCTAACTGTTTAGATTTAGTGGATTGGAAGGAACTCTTTTTTTGTGTGTCCTAGAGGCTAGAATATTCACCACAATTTTCTTGACATTGCAAGAGAGAGCATTCTATCTGCAATTGTAACTATACATGGCAATGATAAACCTTGGTTCAAAAATGAAGTCAGACTCAGAAAAGCAATTCAAAAGAAATTTCCACTAAATCCAAATATGTTGAAGGATGACAATTACATTTGAATTCTTATATTATTTAATAGACATACAGTTTGCAATGTGAACCAATATTGCCAGATTGATCTTTCCTTATTTTGTAGAAATTTTCTTCTACACAAAACTTCACATTACCAATGATTCAGGACAATGAGGTCAATGAGGTCAAGGTTCCATACACCAAATCAGTGTCTTCCCTAGAAAATTTTTCATGCATGGTGGGTCCATGGTGGATTTGCAACACGGCGCGCGATGATTCTTTTTCAGAATTAGGAACACTACATAATTTATATGTTTAAAGCCATATACCAATCTAATTGTTTTATTATAGGTAAGTCATGGAACTTTAAAGTATTTATTACAGATGAGAGGAATTAATGAAAGACCTTATAAACAATAATAAAAATAATCCAGTCTGCACTAGTTATTTACAAATTAATGTCATGTACACATTATTTTGTTGATATCTTTCTCCGTTTCAACTTTCCAAAGTTCACCACACATTTTTCAAAATCAAAATCTTCCTCCTTTGGTCCTTCAATTGATATATGCATTAAGCAATTCAGCACTTTTTGGCATAGTCTGTTTCTCAAAGGTGTTTTAACTCTGTTTAAACATGAAAAACACCTTTCACAATCAGCTGTTGAAACTGGCAAAACAAGACCAATTGCTGCATACTTAGACAGACATGGATACAAAGTTCTAAGACTGGCAACTTTGTTCATTGTCTGCCTAAATGTCATGTCTTTACATTCTTTCACTAACATTGTCCTCAATTTGCTGATAGAATGGTTTCAGCAGTAACAGCAAGTTGTTAAATGAAACTTTGAATGTCTTCATTGCTTCACAGAGATTTTACAGGGAACAATAATAAAAAAGTTTATTTGCGTTAGGGACGACATCAAAAGTTCATTGTAGGATAAAAAAAACTTAATTCACATAGTTTTTTCACTGCCCCCCCCCCCCCCCTTAACTTACTTTGGGAAAAATTGATTAATTGATTGACCAATATGGATATATGTAAAGTCGATTTTGGATAAACAAAACTTGCAGCAATTTTAACCCCCACCCCCAAACTATTTGATTGAAGTATTTTTATCCTACATTGATCTTTTGATGTCGTCCCTTAATTACAGAAGTCATCAATGAAGAATACCTAACATACAGATGACATATTTGGCAATTACCTGTTTGGAAGCTAACTGACATTTTATTTCATGACAATTTTTAAATACATTCCTGTCCGATTTATTTATAACGCTTCATAATTGTAAAAATCCTATCTTGCCGAAGTGAAAGAAAAATTATTTAGCCCCACTTGTGTAAAAAACGGCAAATGAATCCGCTATGTGACCCATTGAATTAAAGATAGAACAACACTAGTTTATTATATTAAAAACAATATTTCCGTAAATAACTACGTATGTTTTGAAAGTTTTTCCATCATTTCATAAGACACGTCTTTTTCTCGGCACGGTTGCGGTGATGTGTATTCTTTGATATAATCAATCAACCGCGACTAATCTAAAAATAACTGATTGTTGTGACCAATCAAAAAATAGTTCATCGATGTAAATATACATTGATATAGCTGATGAAAAAACTGCGAAACTTTATTTAAAAAAAAGGTTTTGTTCATTCTCGGTGAAGTTACGTTAGTTTTATTTTATGATACCAGAGACTATACTAAATTTTAAATTTCTACTTTTTAAAGATCACAGTAAAATAACGATGTCAAACTCCCGTTTTTTAGTGAAATTTATACTGGGAAAATGTTAAAACTTTTTATTTGGCACAGAAAGATATGCATTGGAGATTAATCTTACTATTTATTTATCAGCTAACTGGCAACTTCTATTATGTAACCGAAGTCTCGATGTGTAAATGTATACAACCATGCAACTAATCAAGAAGGTTATAAAATCCCGGCACGCACGACGTGATGCATCCAATTATGAGTCGGATGAGTTTAAAACACCTGTGGAGTGTTGTCACTTGTCACTTCACTTTCAAAATATCGATAATAAATATTTTACACAGTTATTATTTTCACACATAGCGGGATGCATTGCGGCAATGATGAAAGCATGGCGGTCGAAATTTATGCGTAGCGGTACCGCAATGCTTGAATAGCCTAGGGAAAACACTGCAAATATATTTG